AAGTAACAAGAAGCTTGGGCGTCAATGTGCGTGAGTTTCTGTTCTGCTTCCTTCTGAGCTCGTAATTCTGAAATACTCACGCACATTAAGCACAAATCTCACGCACATTAAACACAATACTCAGGCACATTAAGTACAAAACTCACGCATATTAACATGACGCACATTAAGTACAAATCTCAGGCACATTGAGTACAAATATCACGCACATTAAGTATAAACCTCACGCACATTAATCCACCGCACATCCGCACGGGAAGCCACAAATGCACCTGATCCCTTTATATATATATATATATATATATATATATATATATATATTGAAATTTGTATTAAATGATTGATTTTTTATTTTTTATTTTCCAAATGAAGACATGAATTGTGACAAAATTACCCACTCTTGTCTTGCTTTGTCCCATTGCCTGATTGCCATCTCTTGCTAGAGTCTGTGTTTTTTGAATGATTGTGAAAGTTAAAAACTCACATGGTTGAGCCCCATCCCTATCAATCATAATCATCCATTAGGCTTAATTGGATTTCTTCATGGGGCATTGGGGCATGGCGAAATAAAATCTTAACTACCACGATTTCTGAGAATTTAAGTCACACCGTACCACCCAAAACTAATGGGGAAATTATACAATGGATCCGGGTACACCTTACCATATAGATTCTGGTCTAAAATTATGTGTCTGTAATTCACATATTATGTGTCTGTAAATAAATTGAAGACACATAATATATTGACTATACACTTAATATCTTAGCGATATATTATGTGTCTGCACTTAACAATTTATGAGTCTTCAATTTATTAATAGACACATAATTTAATAAGCAAAGACGCATAATATATTAATTGTAGACATAATTTTTGGTTAACGTTCAAAATATGTGGACTCTGGTTCATGATATAATAATTGAAACTAATGCCATCTAGTTAATTAGCATCTAGATTTTTTTATTTATTTTTTTTGGAGGATAAAGCTGCGGTATATTAATGAATAAAAGTAACAATAGAGCCAGGAGAGACAGAGTCACAGTACAACGAGCTAGCCTGAGCATAGACTGCTGAAGCAAGAGTATGAGCATGTAAATTTAAACCTCGTAAAAACTAAGTTAACAGAACAATAATTGAACGCAGACATGGTTAGCATCTAGGTTATTTAGTTGATTTATTTGAAATATGTATTAAAGTTATACGATGCATTAAAACTCTTACATGGCGTTTGGTTGGAGGGAATTTAAATTACATTCCCACTTAATTCCTACCTAATTTCAAGCGTCACAAAATTCCTTAGTTTGGTTGGAAGGAATTACGATTCCCTTGTTTTCATGGAATTCAAATCCCATGTCCTCCCTGGGATTTTAATTCCATGGATTTTAAGAAGAAAAAAAGGTAATCATGATACAAAATTACCCCTTCCTATTTTAAACTTATAATTGATGCCCACAACAATAATAAACATTTTGAACTTTATACTACTTATAACCTTTCAATTCCACCTGACTTTATTGCAGCTTTGCTTCATTAATACAATCATTTATTGGTTGGCTTTCAAAAATAAAAATCTTTCAATTCCCATGTATACCAAACATTAGAATTAAAATTTCCAGTAATTATATTCATGTAAACCAAACACTGAAATTTAAATTCCCACTTTATTCCCAGTAATTCATTTCCCATGGATTTGCAATTCCTTTCCTACGTAATCCCTTCCTTCTAGCCAAACGCCCATTAAGATAAGAATTTTTATATTTTAGAGACTTTTTGACATTATTATTATTATTATTATTATTATTATTATTATTATTATTATTATTATTATTATTATTTGATTTGAAACGTTTCTAGATTGTTTCTATTGTTAAAATAAAGTTTGAAGGGCTGAATTGAATTTTTTTTTTTTTTGGGGGGGGGGGGAGGGGGTTAAAAGAAATGTGAGTCCTCATTTTTTGTGTGCTCAAATACATGTATGGTTCTGTTTGGTAAAATAGTTAGTTTATATGTCAATTTTGACTTATTTGATCACTATTAACTTTTTAATTTGGTTAAAAAATCAATATAAGTGTTTGGTTAATTAGCTTTATGTAACTCTAAAATATTAAAATTCAAAAAGCTGCTCAAAACAACTTTTTCAATTAGCTTTTTTGAAAAAAGAAATTATACTAAACAACTAACAGCTAATTTACCAAACACTTTTCAACAATCAACTAATGTTATCAACTAGTTATACCTTCTAATTAACCCAATCAGCTAATAAGTATTAGCTATCAGCTAACAACCATTAACCAAACATGGCCTATATATTTTTATAATGTTTATATCCTTATAGAGTTATAGTATATTACATTTAATTATAAAACTAGTCAAAAATTACCATTTATTCATATTTAAGAAAAAAAAATATTAGTAAATACAAACAAATATAAACATTTTTCATTTTCCTCGTTTTTGTGTCCTATTTATTTAAAAAATTATAATTATTACGTGTTTCTTGTCTCATGTGCGCTCCGGTGAAACCTCATATATACTTATATAGCTAACCAATTTAAACAAAAAAAAAAAGTTAATAGACAGCTGCCATAAGAAATTGAACTTGGAGTATTTTGATTATTAAACTAACTTTCTAGCGAACTTGGATAGGTTGTCCCTTATTGATCTACTTGTATTCTATTTCTACGTTGTTTGTATTACATAATATAATGCATAATGCCATTTGAATCAGGGAATTATTATTAGACTTTTTGCACAAAGTATAGTGGTATAACCGTATAATTACTCACTTTGTGTGTGTGTTTTTTTTTTTTTTTTTTTTTGGGGGGGGGGGGGGGGGGGGGGGTTTACATAATTCATATTTTAATAAAAATATTCCATTTATGAAAAAAGAAGAAATAATAGAGCATCTAAAGTTTCTATTAAAGGAGAAACGTACAATAATGCCCATGTGCAAAGGACCAAACACTATCAATGCAAACAAGGTAGAAGAATGGAATTGAGACATGTGATAAGGCTATGTGTGGTACGCATCACACATGCCATGCAAGTTCTAAGTGGACCTAATTTATATATCTAGGCATTTTCTTTTGGTAAATTAGGTTTCCAACTTACGGTAAATTAATTACGCTAAATTAATCACAAGTCCTCAAAATCTTTGTTTAAGGACGTTGGATAAGGTAAATCGCGAGTCGTTCAATAAGTCTTCGATTTTCAGCATGTTACTTTTGATCGTTTAAAAAAAAAAAAATACTTTAGGTCTCTCAATGACCCACACGTCTTCACTGAGAAGAAGACTCCACCCTACTGTTGGAGCAAAACTTTCAAATTAAAGTGAAAGTTAAAATGACCATTGAACTATCGAGCTACGCCCACGTCGCTATATCTTGGCATTTTTTTAAATCTGGGAGTATGATTGCATGTCTCACATTTGTTGTAATTAGGTTGTAGTGGGTGACTTTTATAGTACAGTGTGGAGAAAAATAATTACTAATCATACAAGTGTTGGATGCTAGAAATCTCATATATGTTTTTCTATTACCTTATCTAAGGTTTTTGATCGGAAATGTCATTTTTAATTATTTATTTTTATCCCTTTAGAAATTTGGATTTTTTTTTGGGTCTCTATTTTCAGTTATTAATTAAACGTGGTTAGAAACTTTAACCATCTTTAATTGTTGATCAGAAAATTTAGTTGTTTAAATTAGGGGATAATTTCAAACCATTAGTATTGGTTGGCAAACTAAAAAAAGAAAGAAAACAATTATTCATAGTTTATGCAATCCATGACAAATATATTTTTTGCTATAAGAAAAAATAAATTTACCTACGAAAATTTATAAGTAAATTATAGAAATAATTAAATATTTAATTTACAAACGAATTTTTGTAGGTAAAACACTGAAAATTCATAGGCATTTAAAGTAACTATTTAATCTAGATCCGTGCTATAAACTCCTCCTGGGTCGAGTTAGATGTATAAAAAAATTAAAGATGATAAAAAAAAATTTATCCTTGATTTTTTTTAATATTTGTGATCTTAGCTTTGTCGGATTAATCCTAAGTCCACAGGACCATGCTTCTAAAACCATTGTAAAGGTAAATCGTGAGTTAAGCCTTTTTCTTTTTGTTGTTGTTTTGTTTTGTTTGTTTGTTTGTTTTTTTTTTTTTTTTCCCTAATTATACGTATATATGCTATTCATAAATCATGCTGACGGTGTAAATGACATAATTTTATTTATTTATTTTATGTGGGGTTGTGGGGTTTGGTTTAGGTCACATATATATATCAATAATAACTACAACGAACAAAATAGTGTACCATAAACATGGCTGTTTTTTTGGCATGTCCGACAGTGGCACAGTGGTTAATCCCCTCGCTAAATTGTAGGTACTTCTTTTAGGTGGGAAAGCTGGCCTGGAGATTTAAGACTGCTCCATTCTCAAAGCTAATGATCGAACTCTTGACCTTTGGTTAAGGATGAATGAATCCCTTCCACTTAACCACACCCTCCAGGTTACATGGCTGCTTTTACATCATTTGATCTGGCAGCATTATGAAGTAGGAAAACTTAAAGTTTTGAAGATATATATATACACACACACAAAGAGCATTGTAATTAAGCAGTTGTGTGATATGGGAAGACATATGTGTATGGGGTACAGATCAAATATGTGATAAGATTCCATCATTGTTGTTTCTTAACCACTTGGCATATGGACCATCCTTAAAAAAAAAAAAAGTAAATAATATTAAAATTAATATATATATATATATATATATATATATATATATATATATATATATATATCCGAGGCAAACATATGGACCGTCCTTTTGGTCTGCCGTGTCCTTGAAGGCAATTTATAACGTGGACCAAGGTCGACATAGTATTATGAACTCTCGATCAAAACAATGTCGTTTTGATATTTAAGTTTTAACTTTAATTTTTCATTTTTCATATTTCAACACAAATTTTAATTTATTCTAGTTACAGAATCAATACTCTTAAAGTACAGAATTTCAAAATGCAAGACACAAAAATTCACAATACAAGACACATACACATGTTATATATTTACTTATTCTCAAATCTGATTTATGTAGATAATATATGTCCTATAGGCACATAATTTTATAATACAAGACATAAATTTGTAAAATAAACACACAATATGTTGAGTGTTACATAACTACTAATCTATTTCAGGTACAAAACCTATACGCTTAAGGTACAAAATTGCATAACATGAGACCAGAAACGCATAACACAAGACACAAACACATGCTTTACAGTAAAAATAAAAAAAAAAAAATCTGTAATGTGAATTAAACAACAAACATCGCCGACAAAATTAAAATTCAAAACTATGTCGTTTAGGATTAGGATCCAAAGTGTATTGTGGACCCTGGTCCACGATATAATGATTTGTATAGTAGTTGCATCAGTTGATGCGATCATGATTCAAGTCATCATGCAATTATCAGTTTTGGTTCCACTTTTCCACCTAATCTTGAAACCAATTCAACATATATTCCAGGTAACGTAATATTTTTGAATTAATTCAGCGATCTCAATATAAATTACTTGGATACGTAAAGATAGGATAAATAAGTAAATGGGAAAAATATATGAACTCTTAGTGCCTCATGGCCAACGATCAAGATGAAGCGGTAACTTCTACCTCATCTAGTTACAATAATTTGGTTGATATATGCTTCTTTTTGGGAATTGATATGATACATTCTTAGCAATGTTAAAGAAAATTCGATGAAATCCAAAAAGAGTACGAAGCTCTTAAACCCAAAAATTGCCTACGTTAAGAGTGATAACTCTCGTACGACTAAGGAACTCAAAAATCTCAATAGTCTTCCGAAACAGTTAGACGATTAAGGTAGAGAACACAAGGCTCAAAGAGGGATGAAAATCAAGAGAGATTAGAGAATAGAAGTTTAGAGAGATTATTGTCACACATGACGGCAGCTTCAAATCAATGGAGACACACTGCTGGAAATTATGGAATTTTCGACCACCTGAAAGTGATCTTAAATCAAGTCAAAAGCCTTGTTCTGACCACTTTGGTATCCGGAAAAACCTTTATTGCTATTTCCGACCACTTTTTACTTTCGACTTTATTTAAGATCACTTTTAGGTGGTCGGAAATTCCATAATTTTCAGTAGTGACATCGCTAGCTGGCTATAAAAAAAGTCATCGTGGGATAGGACTGGACTTGGTTTTGATCCTTCATGCATCTTTTCAATCACCACGAAAACATCGATCATTATTTGTTAAGGAATCAAGCCCTCAACCAGTAGATGTAGTGGAATATGTCCATGTAAACTCAAGTTCTAACTGAGGAGGATTTTGAGCGGTTATAACATCATTTAAACATATTTGTTAATGGTTATCGAACTAGAAAGATCACGAGTTCAATTCTTATCAATATCTTCATGCACGGTCAAGCTGGCCCATCATATTATACATGGTTTGTAAACAATTACACAATAACATGATTCGTTTACTTATCACTTATCAGTATACACTCTCGAGTAATGATGGTAGGTTTGCTTGTTATTCAAAATAATAATAACTTAATAGTTTTTATTTTCAACTTTCAAAGTACATGTCAATTAGGTATCAATCGAGTAATGTTACTTTAATTTAATAATACCTATATATGTGATGGAATTAATTAACCCGGGGGTCCGTGTTAATTAATCCAATTAATGAATAAACATCTCCATGGAGAAAATATAAATGAATATTATGAAGTGATGATTGCGGGGAATCAATAAATAAATAGACAGACACAAAGATATTTAACGTGGAAACCAATACGGTGAAAACCACGAGCCTTTTTGGGCTAAGCCAAGCCGAAATCCACTAAGTAGTTGTAGGTGTAGTATATATACATAAGGTGGCCATGGAGTATAAGGAAGAATCCATAATATATATGCAGAAGAAAAGGTTTTATATCTGATATTTCTCCCCTTTTTGTCTGCATCCCGGAATCTTTATATAATGTCATTTGTTGTAACTTCCCGTAGCCTTCCCTATTTTCTTACCATGATGACCTCTTCTCTTTGACTAATTAATATCATTATTATTATACATAATAATAATAATAATAATAATAATAATAATAATAATAATAATAATAATAATATGGCAGGCATATTATATTATTCCATCAATATGATTCTAGTACGACGCAGTCCTGTTCTTTTTTTGTTCTTGGCATGCAACATCAACAAGTTGGATATAATGGTTGTCCAAAGGTTAGTAGTATCTTTTGAGATCACAAAAAGCAAAAGTGATAATATTAAGAGAGAGAGAGAGAGAGAGAGAGAGAGAGAGAGAGAGAGAGAGAGAGAGAGGGACAGAACAAAAAACAAAATAATAATAATAATAATAATAATAATAATAATAATAATAATAATAATAATAATAATAATAATAATAATAATAATAACAAAGGGGATCAATCATGTAATATAAAAATGTTTTAAATACGTGTAAATTACATACCTAATTGCTAACTTAACTCTAATCTTTATTACATTTAGACATTTAGTTGACTAGGAAACCCTACACCACTACTTTGTAATTTTGAGGTATATATTGGATAAATTTTATTATTGTGTAATAATCTATAAATTATACATGAGAGGTAAATCGTATTAAAATATCATGTACAATGCAATCAGCGTACCGGTCAGACCCTAGTCTTCATGCGCGCAAGGGATTCAATCCACAACTTCCATCATCCTAGGTCTTTTTCCCTTCATGTTTTCGGTGGGATTCAAACCCCAACACTATCATCTTTAGTCGTGACATCAAATTAGACAATGAACCACTATGTTAAGTCTCGGGACTGATATTTTATTACATTCTTCCCAAAAAAGGTTGAATCCCCAACCCCAAGACCCCTCCACATCCTGACATAATAGAGCATTTGAAAAGATGTAGATCATGATAACTCAGCTGAACACAGAGACTAGACATTTGCTTATTGAACACCAAGAGCCCCTCACTTTGGTTTGGTTTTTGTGTGCCCGTGTTTTAAAAATTACGGAGTAATTATTATATGGTTTCCAATGTGGAGGGTATCGGACAAGGAGTCAGAGTGAAGAAAGAAGGAATGTCGTATTACGCATGAACTGTTTCGTCAACCTTCCACACCAAACAGAGGCTCGTATAAGAGCAAAGGGAAGAAGGCGGGAAAAATTGTTACAACAGAAAAGCCTAGCTAAAATACAAGAAAGCCCCTACTTATTGTTTGTTGTGGAGGGTGTAACCGTCTCATCCAATACCCCCCCCCCCCCCCCCCCCCCCCCGGTAAGCTGGAGCATACATGTCATGTATGCCGAGCTTATGAACGAAAGTGCGGAACGAAGAAGTGGGAAGAGGTTTTGTGAATCCATCCGCCGTTTGATTTATAGAAGTGACAGATAGGAGCTTTACTAATCCTTGCATTACTTTTTCACGAACCATGTGGCAATCGATCTCTATGTGTTTGGTGCGTTCGTGTAAAACGTAGTTTTCGGCTATGGCTATTGCCGATTTATTGTCGCAGAACAAGGTGGCAGCTTTGGTAGTTGTCACTGCGAGATCATTAAGGAGATATGTGAGCCATTGAATTTCGCACACTGCAGCTGCAAGAGCACGGTACTCGGCCTCGGAGCTTGAACGGGAGATGGTAGCTTGCTTCTTTGATCTCCATGAGATTAGAAAGGAGCCAATGAAAATGCAGAAGCCCGTAACGGACTTGCGTGTCTCAATGCAAGCCGCCCAATCTGAGTCTGAAAAAGCTCTAAGGTGCAACTCTGTCTGTGAGGGGTAAAATAATCCTTGGCCGGGTGCAGATTTGATATATCTCAGCACCCGGTGTGCTGCTGTAAGATGTATGTCCGTAGGGGAGTCGACGAACTGGCTTAATTGCTGAGTGGCGTAGGCAATATCATGCCTCGTGGCTGTGAGGTAAAGAAGCCTACCTACCAGCCGTCTATATGAACTAGCATCAGGCAACAATTGGCCTTCACCATGTATGAGCTTTAACCCGGGAATCATGGGAGTATCTGCCGGCTTGCTGTCAAGGAACCCTGCTTCTTCTAGTATTTCGAGGGCGTATTTCCTTTGACAAAGGCTTAAACCATCCTTTCCTTGGTGTGTTTCAATCCCCAGAAAATACCCCAGGGGACCTAAGTCTTTGATTCGGAAAGTGGTATCCAGAAACTGTTTGAGGTCTGTAATGAGACTCAGGCTAGCACTGGCAACAAGTATGTCGTCCACGTAAACAAGAATGGCAATAAAACCAGCATCATTATTCTTAGTAAACAATGATGGATCGGCCTGGGATTGAGTAAATCCAACTTGGATGAGGGCTGCAGTAAGTTTGGCATTCCATTGGCGACTTGCCTGCTTCAAACCGTATAATGAACGTAGAAGTTTGCACACTTGGTTTGGCCTTTCACTCTCAAAACCCGGAGGCAAAACCATGTAGACTTCCTCATTAAGATCCCCATGTAGGAAGGCGTTGTTGATATCCAATTGGTGAATGTGCCAAGATCTAGAAGTGGCAACACAAATGAAAGTCCGGATCGTTGTCAGTCTAGCAACTGGAGAAAAGGTGTCAAAATAGTCGATGCCGAGTTGTTGAGTGTAGCCCTTGGCTACGAGTCGTGCCTTATATCTTTCGATTGTACCGTCAGCTTTCATCTTCACTTTGTATACCCACTTACATCCAATGACTTCTTTTCCCGGGGGCAGCTCAGATAACTCCCAGGTCTTGTTGTCTTGAAGAGCTTTTATTTCTGAAGCCATGGCATCTCTCCAACAAGTGTGCCGAACAGCTTGGTTGTAGGTTCTTGGTTCACAAGTGGATGTGACTGCTAGAGAGAACATTCTGTGCACAGAGTCAAGGTTAGCATAAGTCATCCCCTTTGATATGGGATGAGGTGAAGATCTGTTTTGAACCACATTGTCACAATAATAGTCCTGTAGCCTGCTGGACGGTTGTCTGTGTCTGAGTGAACGTCTAGCCTGTATGATAGGAGAGGGACTAGAGTCATGCGTGTTATCTGCATTATCAACTGCATGATTATTTTCTGGTGCATCATTGTTGGTCCCATCAGACCTGCATGGTAGGGATATATGCGAATTGAAATCAGATGATGATCCATTCTCCTCATGCTCATTGTGAGACTGTGGCTGAATCTCTTGATTATTATGCGGCACTGGCAGATTATGATTTTTTGCACATTCTTGGGGAGTTGGTTGAAAGTCAGTATCTTCATGACTTGTGATTGAAATATTTGGCAAAGGTGGTACTAAATCTTGTGAAGATTCATCATCTATTTGACAATTCTTGGAGGCAAGAGGAAATTGGTCTTCATAGAAAATCACATCGCGAGATATGAAGGCAGCCTTCTCACCAAGATCATAGAGTAAGTATCCTTTTACCCCTGCAGGAATGCCAATGAAGATACACTTTCGACCTCTAGGTGCCATCTTATGGCGTGAGGCAGGTAAGGTGGCAGCAAATGACAAGCAACCGAAGACTTTTAGATTAGAGAGATCTGGAACCTTACCATGCAGCTTGTGATGAGGACTTGACCAATCAAGGACTATAGATGGGAGCCTGTTGATAATGTAAACGACATGGAGCACACAATGTCCCCAAAACTCAAGAGGGATGCCTGCTTGAAATCTTAGGGCCCGATCAACTGCCAAAACGTGTTGATGCTTCCTTTCAACCACAGCATTTTGTTGAGGGGTGTTGACACAAGATTGTTGATGGATGGTGCCATTTTCATCAAATAAAGCTTTCATGTTAAATTCCAGGCCATTATCACTTCTCAATGCCTTTATAGTGACTCCATACTGTGTGTGAACCATTTTGAAAAAATCCTTGATTAAGCCCCTTGTTTCTGACTTGTCTCTCATGAGTTTTATCCAAGTAAATCTGGAACAATCGTCCACAATAGTGAGAAAATATCTTTCTCCATTCAAAGTCTTGATGTGGAATGGCCCCCATATATCCATGTGGACTAGATCAAAGCAGGCAGCAGAGACAGTTTTGCTCAGGGGAAAGGGATTTCTCTTATGCTTAGCAAGATGACATATGTCACAAGCCATGCTCTTATTACTGGAAGCAGAAATATCAAGAAGATGCAGTTTATTAGAGGGAAAATGTCCCAAGCGTTGGTGCCACAATTCAACCTTATTACAAAACATAGAAGTTTGATTACAATTATCAAAAACAAGATTAGCTGATGGTGGATCATTGAGCAAGTACAGCCCCTCCTCTTCTCTAGCAAAGCCAGTCGTCTTCCCATGGTCCGTTAGAAGGCACTGACCATAGGTAAATAACAAAGAGTGAGATGAATTCTTCAGCAACTTATTCACAGATATTATATTGAACTTGAATGAAGGGATGTGTAATGCATCTCTTAGCCACAGATTGTTGTTTAACCGGATGTTTCCCATATGTTTAACAGCCACACAATCCCCATTGGGTAAATTTACCATAGCACCAGTCACAGTAGAGTAATCATCAAAGAAAGCAAGAGAACAAATGATATGATCAGTGGCTCCCGAGTCTATGATCCAATTAGACGATGTCATGCAAGCAGTATTAATATAAGTGGAGGTGTAAAACTTGCCTTCATTACCAGACTTCGTGTTGTTGAAGTTAGGAACTAGAGGAATTGCTGCATTGGTGGACTGTTGACTGTGTCCTGTGGCACCAGTGGCTTGCTGTTTGTGCCCCATTTGATCAAGGAGGGAGATCAAACCTTGAACCTGCTGGGGAGTGAAGGTCTGTCCTGGTTGTGCAACTGTGGCATTAGCATGCTGCTTTCCTTTGTATTTGTAGCCTTGTACCCAACCCGGGGGGAATCCGTGTTTCTTGTAGCATTTTTCAACGGTGTGTCCATTCATGCCGCAAAAAGTACATTTAGCCATAGATTTACCTCCTTCTTCTGAATTCATCCTTCTGCCATTAGAGTAATTGAACGCAGCAGCCATTGAATCTATCGGCTCACTGAATTGTTCAGATTGGGTCTGAATAGCATTTTCCTGGGTGAACTCCGTGCCAAACTTGTTGAGATTCATAACATTGGAGCTGCCTCTCAAACTTCTCGGCCATGACCAGCACCTTGTGTAGCTCCGGAAGGGGATCAAGCACTAGAACTCCGGATTTCAGAGAGTTATAGGCTTCACCGAGTCCCTGTAAGAACCTTATCACCTGATCAACTTCTCTGTCTTTCCTGATCTGATCCACAAGACCACATGAACACCGCGGCGTGCACTTGCATATAGGGAGTGGTCTGAGATCGTTCATCTCTTCCCAAATCGTGCGGCACCTGGTATAATAGTCATTAACGGTCATAGCTCCCTGTGTGAGATTATTCATTTTGCTATGTAGGGATGAGATGCGATTCGCATCTCTCTGTGAGAACCTCCTACGTAGATCGTTCCAGATCAACTTTGCCTCATCCATGTACATAACGCTTTGCGCAATGGATGGGATCACAGACCTCAAGATCCATGAAGATGCAATCACATTGCATCTTCTCCACGCACTGTATTGATTATGAGTTTGATCCGGCGCTGGAAGGCTTCCATTGACTATTCCCCATTTGTTTTTGACTTCAAGGGCCACTCTCATGGAGATACTCCATGTTGCATAGTTGTTGATGCCAGAAAAGGGGGGGACTCACAAGTATTGCGTTAGGATTTTCGCTGCTGCTCAGATAGAACGGATTGTCTAGGTCTTCGACGGCGTTGCTCCTCTGCGGAGCCGAAACTCTTTGAGCATTGATATCTGTCGGTGATTCCAGTTGAACTCCCTGGCTTGATTCACCGACGACCGCGGCGGCGTAACTCTCCCGGCGGCGCTCTGATACCATATTGGACAAGGAGTCAGAGTGAAGAAAGAAGGAATGTCGTATTACGCATGAACTGTTTCATCAACCTTCCACACCAAATAGAGGCTCGTATAAGAGCAAAGGGAGGAAGGCGGGAAAAATTGTTACAACAGAAAAGCCTAGCTAAAATACAAGAAATCCCCTACTTATTGTTTGTTGTGGAGGGTGTAACCGTCTCATCCAATAGAGGATTCTGGTTTAAAGGGAAATTATGCTCAACTAATAAGAATATGATTACATTAATAATATTTTCCATATACCAACTCAAAGCTTAAGTATTTACTCTTTTTTTATTATTATTTTATTGCTATTGACTCTGTTACAATGCAATATCTATATATACCGCATTCATTAAGATTTAAACTCACAACCTCTTATAGGGAGTCCAACTCGATGCTACTAGACCACAAGGTCTTGGCAAGTATTTGCTCAGTTTATTAGTTTAATAAATGTAAAATATTTACAATATTTAATCTCACACATTAAAAGTGGGCATACTAAATAAGTTGACTTTCGACTTTTTGATTTTGTGAAAAGGTTAGATCTCTCTACACTACATATCTCTCTCCATTCTCTTTATTGTCTTTATTTTTTAATCCCCTCCGATCCCTTTCCTGCTATGGATTTGTTGATGGAAAGCTCACATAAGTTATATATGTTTTTAAAATTAATTGGAGTGGCTGGATTGGTAATGACTCCTTTTAATCATATCCCACGACTCTAATCAATCTAGTTTAAATACTCATTAAAAAATAAAAAGTCGACTTCTGCTTTGCTAAGCGATCTGCGAATCGCGCTGCCCATTTAGTTGCACGGGAAGTCGTTTCTATGTCAGGTTGCGGAGAGTGATTTGATGACTCTCTTCCCTATCTTGCTGATTGTATTCATTCGGAGAATGCATTAAGTTATCCTTTCCAAAAAAAAAAAAAAAAAGTCTTAATTAATTGGTGGATCATTATTTCGGTTACGTTACGTATTCATTTTTCATAGAATCCGTGAAATCATATATATATATATATATATATATATATATATATATATATATATATATATATATAAACATCAATTAGTGAAAAAAAAAAAAAAAAAAAGATCTGAACACTTGGGGTGGAATCATAACGATTCCACTATTTAAAAAAAAAAAAAAAAAAAAAAAAAAAAAAAAAAAAACTAGCTAAATGAAGCGTGTTGTGCAACTAAATAAAAGTCCAATGTTAAAAATAATTGTATAGTTATCATAGTTGAAAAAATCGTTAGGCACTTCTCGGGCATCCGGGGCGCCTTTGCGGCGATTAATTGGCGCCTAGGTGTCCGTATTTTTTTATTTTTTTTTTAAATTTGTTTTAAAATTTTAAATTTTTTAAGACTTGATAATTATAAACTATTTAATACTTTAACAGTTAATACTAAAATATTAAATACTAACCTAAAAAGCATTTACAGCACGTTTGGTTCACGGAATAAATTTGGAAGGAATAGGAATGCTATTCCACAGGGAATGGAATAGGTAAGGAATAGAATAAGAATTGTATTCTGTTGTTTGGTTGGCTGAAGGAGTAGACTTTAGTAATTGTATTCCAGTATTTGGTTGGTTAAAGGAATAGAAATGGAATAGGTTTTAAAGACATAAATACCCTTATACAAAATAATAATAATAATAATGAATATGATTATGATATACTGAATGTTATATATATATATATATATATATATATATATATATATATATATATATATATATATATATATATATATGCATGTGTGTGTGTGAGAGAGAGAATAACAATAATAATAATAATAATAATAATAATAATAATAATAATAATAATAATAATAATAATAATAATAATGAATATGATTATGATATACTGAATGTTATATATATATATATATATATATATATATATATATATATATATATACACACACACACACACAAATAATTTTATTTAAATATATATATTTATTGATAGATTGATAGATAAAAATTATAATTAATTAAATATATACATTTATATAATACATTATATTTATTAAATAAATATAAATATTATATAATATGTAAAGGGTATTTTTGATATTTGTGCTATAAAAGCTATTCCCAAGGGCATGGGAATAGCTAATACCAAGGCCCCCCCTAGGAATGGCTATTCCCCTTGCGAAGGTAATAGCTCATTCCTAGGCATGTTATTCCCATGACAAAATGATCCAACCAAACGACGGAATAGGTCTATTCCAAGGAATGTTATTCCATTCCTGACCTATTCCATGAACCAAACATGCCATTAGAGTTTGAATAATTTAGTGTTATTTTACTCAAAACGATGTCGTTTTGAGTGAAATAAATCATTTAAAAAAGAATGAAACAATAGCTAATCGGCCGCCTAGGAGGCCTAGTCGGTGCCTAGGATGCCTAGGTAGTTAGCGTCTAAGTGGAGCATAGGCGGCCTAATTGGCCGCCTAAACCACCAATTATGGTGATATGCGAGGTGGCCGGCCGGTGCCTAGCACTTAGGTGCCGATTAATCAATGCCTATGTGGAATTTTTGCAACACTGATAGTTACATAATCAAAATAAATAGAAAACCACAATAGTTTAACGTACAATTGGTAATTAAGTTGACTTTTATATCTATTTATCGTATTTTATTCTAACAAAATATTCGTATAATATATTTAGAAATTGAAATAATCCTCATCGATCATATTCAACATTCAACAATTTGCACTATCAAATATATAATTATATGTAGTTGAATAAAAAATTTACTTCATTTTGCTGAAACTCAAAGATATAAAAGAAAAAATATTACATTTATGTTTTTAACAATCACAAGATTTGAGTTAAAAGTTTTTTATATACCAATACTATAAAATAATTATGCAGTTAATTAAAAAAACAATTAAAAAATAAAATTCAACAAAACACATATACATGTTAAAAAAAAAAAAAAAAGACTAGTAATAACAAATCCTTAGAAGGTAAACTAAACTAAGAAGAAAAATGTAAATAAATTAGAAGGTATTTGTAATTTGTAAATGTATAAGAAAGAAAGCTAAATGTATAAGCTATCAGTGTAACCAATTACATTAATATAGTTTTAATTAAAATTAATTTTTAGTTAATTGTTAGATTGCTAAGCATATTGTGCTAAGATGCCATGTAGTGATCATTCTCATGTAGGAGATCATGAGATCGAGTCTCAGTGGAGCATTTAAAAAAAAAATAGCTAATCGCTATTCAATGATTGCCAAAAAATAAGGGTATAATACATGACGAATGTTATCAAACAAGATGCATCACTAGCATAATGATTATGTACATTAACCTTTGTTTTTATGGATGTATAAAATGAATATTATGAACCTACTATAGAATTAATGAAAATACATATGGCATACATTTAATTTAGTATTTATGTACATTAAAGTTTGGTTTATGGGCATATAAAGCAAATATTATGAACATAATATATGATAATGTTATTAAATATGATACACTAATCAATACTTAATATAAAATGACATCATTTAGGATCATGGTCATCCACTAATTTGGCATTAAAACATGAGAAGATGAAAATATATCAATGCTATTAAAATTAATATATATTTAGAAATGTAAATTATTATTATTATTATTATTATTATTATTATTATTATTATTATTATTATTGTTGTTGTTGTTGTTGTTATTATTCGTAAAAAGTACCACACATGCATGACTTGTATTTAAATAAATAAATAAATATATATATATATATATATATATATATATATATATATATATATATATATATATATATATATATATATATATATATATCTCTTGGCCCTATTTGGTAAAATAGTTAGTCTATAGGTCAATTTTGACTTATTTAACCATTGTTAGTTGTTTGACTTGGTTTAAAAATCAATATAAGTGTTTGGTTAATTAGCTTTTTGTACTCCAAAATGCTAAAATTCAAAAAGCTACTCATTTTCAATTAGCATTTTGAGAAAATAAATTATATCAAACAGCTATCAGCTAACATCTAATTTACCAAACACATTTCTACAATCAGCTAATGTTATCAACTACTTATACTCTCTAATTAACCCAATAAGCTAACAGCTAATAGCTATCAGCTAACAACCATTTACCGAACAGGGCCATTATCTTTGGGAACATGAAGCAACCTGGATACAGAGGCGGAGTTATAGTGGGGGCAGCTGCCCTCACTCACCCCACCCCCACCCCCACCCCCTATAACCTTTGTATGTATATATGTATATATAGTACAAGTTTTAGTATAAGTATAAGAAAACAGATAAATATTAACAAGAGTTGAGGTAGCCTAGTTGGCTGAGCGTGCGTTTGTACTTTAGAAATGCTAAGGTTTAAATCCTTTCTTATGCTTTCAACATAGCTTTTTCTCACTAGTTCTCTATTATTAATAGTGCCCCTTTTTTCTCACTTTTGAATTATTTTATCAAATTAATTATGTTTTATATTTTGTTATGAATAGTTTTATAATATTTTGATGTGTTTTATATTTTGCCTATATCCAACAATATTTATGGCTATACTTTTTAAGTGTTTCATTTTTTATTTCAAATTATCATTTTTGTTTTAATGTTTCGCCCCCGCTGACAAAAATTTCTGGATCTGTCACTGCCCGCATAGCCTGCATAGTAATAGATTATGAACTTAGATATTATTGATGTAAAACAATCAGTTTTAAATAACATACAAGGGAGAGAATATAGTGAGTAGTTAGCAGATTGTTGTAATAACCAGTCTAACAATGCTACATAAAAGGAATGCAATTAGATTTAATTATATACAAAATATGTCAGTCACAGATATCCTTAACACATAGCCTATAAAGTACGAACTAAAATAAAATTAGTAATGATTATATATGGAGAAGATGTCATAGAAAAACGTGCAAAACATGGGGGGGGGGGGGGGGGGGGGTGTTTTCACTACAAAGACACCAAACAAATTAAAAGCTGTGTTTCCACTACTCACCACCAAGAAGCTGTCAGTTCACTTTAGGGTTAACCACTTAACCACATGGTTAGTGAAAAAAACAGTCATACATTTCTTGGGGATCAAAGCAAATCTTCATGATTATTCATAACAATCCAAATTGCAGTTTAAAAAATTCGTAATTGTTCACTTTTGTATGGACTGCATAGTCTGCCGGAAATGTTTTTTTTTTTAGTATGACAAAAAGTGTTTAAACATCTGCAAATTTTATGTTGGATCCACCTTAAAGGATAATCTTATCAACTCTCATATCAACTTCTAATATTAAAGTGCATTAGTGACTATTATCTCATATTTTAAGACTAATATAATACCACATTTATAGATTATAGGGAACATAATCAAAGTTGCAGACTAGCTTATATGATTTTGATGGATGATGCTTTGGGTGTTCCTTGAATGAAGAGGATGAGCCTTCATACTCTTGTGACACGGATTGTGGATGAGTAAATTACGCTGACTCGACGACCTCATTAGATGGGACAATTAGTATCTGGTATCTACGAAGATTTCACCACATTGAGTGTAACTCACACACTACGACTGTCATGACTCGACCATGTGTCATTTCCTATAATATACTACTCACGAACTAACTGAGCTACTCGTGCTGACCAAATATAATGATGCTTACTTTGTGTTCATGCATTGTGGCATTGATTCTTTATCTTAAGGTCATTTCCACTTGCACAATATCTTGATGTTAAAATGGGAATGAAGCAGCTTTAAATCTGTAGATCAACTGAATCACTGTATCCGACAGTAGAAACACTAGGTATACCCAAAAAAATCTTGATGTTAAAATAATTTATTAATATTCAATATATGACATGTAGGTATTATACTAGATTCATTTCGTATTTAATTGTTAAGTGAAATCTTTATTAATTAGCAAGGGAGTTGAACAATTCACGAAGTGATCAATGAAGATAAATAATTGTCTTTTAAAACCTATAATAATGCCACATCTTTTAATTTTTTCTATAATAATATTATTTTTAAATAGACACATCAAACTTTTTAGTTTTCTACATCTTCTTTTTTTACGAAGTAAACAAAGAAAGCATCATTAATTTTTATTTTTTATTTTTTATATAGGCAAGACTAAAAAAAGTAGATTTTCTTACTATCCATAAAAGTAAATATGACCATCCTCTATTATATTAAAGCCAGCCATTTTAGGAAAATAAATTGTTAATAGAGTCTAGGAAACGCTGTCGTTTTACTTAGGGTCGAAATATTAAATGTATATATGGGGGTAATGGTTCATATCCCCATATATGGGGGGTAATGGATCATATCCCCAATGACACCGTCCGATCCACGATTACCATTCAAATTTCAAAGAAGATAATTTCCTCGAATGCTATATATCATATGCAATGACCATTAATAAGATCGAGTTAAGGGCAAACACTATTACATGTTGAATTACTACTGAAGAAATTAATTTTTGTGCATGATTAATTGTACGTTGCTGTCTCTCAGATTATCAATCCAAAATGATTAAAAATATTAATATGTAATGACTCGAATTGAGTTAGTACTTCAACTACAAACATTGTTTATCAATAAATTTTTAATAATTTGTAATTATATTTTTTTTGTTTTTAATCTAAATTCTTGATTCAACTATATAACCTCTATAATTAAATTAGGTCTTTTAAAATAAACTTGAAATAATAATACAAGTTATATTATCTTGCTTATCTGGTAATGTTATATTACCTTGTTTGGTTCAAGTTATGATATTATCAGGTAATGTTATATTACCTGAAAGCTGATGTGGCGGTAATGTTTCAAGGTAATGTGATTACTCTTTTTTTTTTTTTTTTTAGATAATCTTAGATTACCTTGAATTATTCCAACTTTGCCCTTGTTAACTAATCCTTATATAATAATAATAATAATAATAATAATAATAATAATAATTATTATTATTATTATTATTATTATTATTATTATTATTATTATTATTATTATGAAATTAATATATGTTTATAATATATATATATATATATATATATATATATATATATATATATATATATATATATATATATATATATATATATATATATATATATATATATATGGAATAGAAACTCACGCACATTAACGCCCAAGCTTCTTGTTACTTCTTCCTTCAATTTGGCCATGGATTCTGGATTATCAGCTACCTTCAGTGCAGTTGAATGTTTATATAAATGACGCACGCACAGTAAAATTTGCACAGCAGCTAAGTGTGGATTTCTGTTGTATTATTCCAATAATTTTTAACCACCATAGCTCGCCTCCGCATCATCATCATCAGGGAGGGGGCAAATGACTACTGGGGATGGGGAAGAAGCTGACATCAATATTTTCTGCTGCATTTTACACATTCACGCACATTAAGTACAAATCTCAGGCACATTAAGCACAACACTCACGCACATTGAATACAAATCTCACGCACATTAATCCACCGTACATCTGTACGGGAACCTTTCACTATATATATATATATATATATATATATATATATATATATATATATATATATATATTATTGAGGACATTATTGTAAATTGATTCATATAACCTAAAATATAACCCTGAATCAAACAATGTAATATTATATTACACCATCCAAACCAAACACACAAAGTAATCTTACATTCCCAAAATCTCACATTACCTTCCAGGAGGTAATCCTATTACCTGGGGGTAATCCAAGATTCCGTGAACCAAACGCTCCTTTATACGGAGTAGTATTTAGTCATGTATCGCAGGTGAGAGTGTCAAAATGGTTTGAATAGTAATTATGTCGGGCACTAAGACCATGTTACGATATATGGCTAAGTGGCAAACGAAAGGATCTAAGGATTATCTTATCTTTTTTTTTTTTTTTTTTTTTTTTTTTTTTTTTTTGAGGACAATACTTATTTTATCTTTTTTAAAAAATAATAATAATAAACAAAAAACTTTAAATATTTTATGCATTGTGAAATAATATTATTGATACCAACGCTCTAGTATTATTATATTAAATATTCAGAATTTTTTTTAAGTGATGCTAAATGTACTTTTTCCCACTATTTTAAAATGTGCGTTGATTCTATTTGGATCTGTCTAACATAAATTTAATAACAAAATAGTATAACTCATGAATGTATGAGGAAATATAAATGAACATGAAGAAATTTTTATA